TTTGAAAAGCGAATCCAAAATAATAAAATTTTTAGTTAGGCGCAAATATTTGTTCCCCTATTAGACTATGCAGCGAGGCCGCCTGCAATTCGAAAATGGTGGTAACAGGGGTTTGTTAAGGGAGGAAACGTGATGTTCTTAAATACTTGAAAGGAAAAATGCAGATGCGCTGCATGCTTGTTTTGATGAACTAAAAAGCTACTTTCCAGAAGATATTTCGGGGGCTTAGAGGTGTTCGTGCCCTACCAGACTTTCCATGAAACTATTATGGGGTATCCGACGCTCTTTTTGCTGCCTAGGGTACCTGCCAACTCCACATCCGTACGTACTCGGGAGAGAGCGTCCGTCTTTCTTCTATACGCAGGACCGTCAGAGAGAATTGAGAATGCGTTCACAAGGGAGCCAGCATGTTTCGGTTCATTAGTCAACCTGAGATTGTAACCCAGACTTATCCGAATTCTATATCATTTAAGCAATTTATCTTTTACGGAGACTACTTATAGCCTCGTGAGTAGTCTGTCTACTGCACATGTAGCTAAAACTGCCGGCTGAGTAGCAGACAGAGGTTACAGTAGTAGCAGACTTGTGTTCGCTTATAATCGGGCGTTTTAAATCACCCGATTAGTTTTCTTGCGACTGCCTACATCCGATTAGATGGGGCGACGAATGCTCATCTGTTCAGGCGAAACACGCGTCCGTGCCATTAGCTAGCATCCGCATGAGAGGTATGCGAGGCATTGAATGCTTGTATCCTTCAGACTGCCTGTTGGCAGACTGCGAATAGTACGCGGTTGCTACGCTGAGACTGATGGACTTCAGCAGAGTTACTCATACCAACAACCGAATCGACCCTGAGAAGGTTTGTCCCGAGGGGTTATATGATGTCTACGCGATACATTCCGAGAAGATTAAAAAAACTTAATAATGGACGGTCTGAAGCTCTGCTGCTGATTTCGAGGCGCATCACATCGTCAGATTGGAGGGCGCTGTTGTGACAAGGGGTGTTGGAAAAATACACCACCGCGAATCAATATACAGTGCGTGGCTGATCTCGTGAAATGTCGGCCAAAATTCTGAAATGCGTTTCCGATTAGGAAGGATTACTTACGTGGGGTTGTTATACTGATTATCTTGCAGCATAACCCTATAAGATTTCGGACTCGCCAGGATGTCGGCTTTTGCATGCACTTCTTTTTGATCTAGTGCAGAAAGCACACTCGGTAAAAATGACTACATAATTAGCATGCATTTTTCCTACTGATTTTCGATGGTCTTATAAATTTAAATATATTTTATAGAGAATATGCATACAAATGTGCTTTCTTTTGCTCGTTTGTTAGGAAATCACATTTTTTAATATTTTATGCTTGAAAAAATTGGGTAGTTAGGTTTTTAAAAATGTCCCAATTCCCGAATAATGTTCAGCCTGATCTGCCACTGCATCAGCGTTTAGCAATTTCAGTCTACAAGGGGCATGCTCTACGCGTAAGGAAAATCATATATTCCTCTATGCCTCTAAGAAGATACCACATACAGTTCATTAAATTTTGCGATAGATCCTGACTGTGTTGTAATTAGAAACCTTCTTAAATCTAAAATGTTCACTTTCTTCGGGCATAAAATATGAATTCAATGTGATTTCCTACCAATTGAGCAAAAAAAGCATATATTTATGCAGCCTTTCTACAAAATATTTTTGAATTTGTAAGACTATCGAAATCAGTGTGAAAAATGCATGCTAATTATGTAGTCATTTTTGCCGAGTGTGGTTTCTGCACGAGGTCAAAACGAAATGCATTCAAAAGCCGACATCCTGGCGAGTCCGAAATGTTATAGGGTTATGCTTCATGATAATCAATATAACAACCCCATTTAAGTAATCCTTCCTAATCGGAAATGCATTCCAGGATTTTGGCGGACGTTTCATGAGATCGGTCACGCACTGTATGGCATAGCTTAGAGCGCAAAAGTGTGAGTTTCCAAGGACCTACTGGTGAAGGGGAGGCTGAAGAGCCTGTGAAAGTCTGTTCCTGTGATCGCCAGCGCGGCTGTTTACTCAGTCCCCCTTTTTAATTCGCTGCTGAAGCTGAGCATGACTTGGCATGAAAGTGGCGAGAACTGGTAGCCAATCGATGCTACGACTTTTGCCGAGTAGTTCCAGGCAAAAAGAGCCATGACACATATACATCTGCCGGAAGCTATGAATCTCAACGAGGGACATACGTCTGAAAAGATGTCTTGCTGCAACTGTCAGCTGAACTACTCTTAGTAAAGCTTGTCCAACTTAATCCGTCTCCAATGACTTGTGATATGGGAATCTTCGGGTTTGCCGACTCATCGCAATCCGATAGGCTCTCTTATGATGCGAGGGCCATCGAGCTGCACGTAGACTGTGATTAAAACTTTGCGCTGGCGGTCATGGAAAAGTAAACCAAAAAACATATTCAGACCCCTAAATGATTTTTTTTCTAATAAATACAGTAGATACGCTAACTCATGAGATGTCAACCGAAATTCCGAAATGCGTTTTCATTTCGAAGGGATTAATTAAGTAGGGTTGTAAAACTAGTTAGTGTGTAGAATAATTCAATAGTGATTCAGGTACCTCAGGAAACCGGCTTTCGAATGAACCTCTCTTCGGCTGCATACAAAACTATACTCTGTAAAAAACGACTACTTAAGTAGCATACATTTTTCTCATTGATTTTCGATGCCCTTAAAAATCAATGATGTTTCATAGAAAACATGAATAAAAATATTCATTTTCTTGCTTATTCGGTGGAAAATTACGTCTTCTTTCAATTTTATACTCGAAGGAAGGGTATAATTTGGTTTTAAAAGTTTCTAATTGTGACATTTTTTAATACCGTGAAACGGCCATTCATAAAACGTTGTGTCCCTGCATTTACCAATGTGGCTTGTAAAGTTAACAATTTGGCTCAAATCCACGACTGAATTTTATGAACCCCATATGGTCCCCTCTTAATACCGTAGAGAAACGTATGGTTTTCCGTACGCGGAATATATATGGTTTGTAGTTTGGAAACCCTGAATGGGAGTGTAACGGCAGGTCGGGTTCCAAATTATTCGGGAATTGGAAACGTTTTTGAAAACCGAATTATACCCTTCCTCCGAGTATAAACTTGGAAGAAGACGTTTTTTCTACCGAATGAGCAAAAGAATGAATATTTTTATACATGTTTCCCATGGAACTTAGTTGGATTTTTAAGGGCATCAAAAATCAATGGGAAATATTCACGCTATATAAGTAGTCATTCTTTACAGATTATAGTTTTTGCATGCCCGCGGACGGAAGTTCGTTCGAAAGCCGGCATCCTAAAGTGACTGAATTTTTGTAGAATTGTACTGCACGATGATTAGTTTTACAACCCTTCTTAATTAATCTTTTTGAAACGGAAAAGCATTTCGGTTGACATTTCATGAGTTAGCCCACCTACTGTACCATGTATCGACTCGTCGAGTCAGAGGTTTCGTCCGTAACGAAATTGTACGCAGAAATTAGGTAATATTACGTATTATTGGTGTAGCCATTAAATAAAGGGTTTCTGTGGCAGTCTGCCGCAAGAGCAGAGCCGCCGTCGCTGACACATTTTACCTTCGCCTATCAAGCCTTGCGTGCTCGCGCGTGAATCGATCTCCGGCTTGTGACGCCCTGACGTCGATCGATATTTCTCTCTTCATCGATTGGTCGTAGCGGCTCACACTTCCGCGTGCGGACGAGCGATAAAAAGACTGTCACGGCCGGCGACAGAACGCGCCTGAAGAGACGGCTTGCAGCAACTGTTTGCAGAGTCCCTTGTACGCACTTTCTTTCCGTAAAAGCTGGCCCAATCCAATCTGTCTTCCCTGAGTTCTGATTTTGGAATGTTCGGGCTGTCGACCCTTCGGAAGTTTCGTGTCAGCCTTACATTATGACATTTCCTTCCTGAGCTGCGGTTTTGAAGTGAATTTTAAAAATCCCCATCTAGGGGGTCACTTCCTTAGCCCTACATCTCTTTAGCGTCATTGCCAAACTCGTTTTTCTCTTTCCTAACACAAAACATAACCCGAAACTTAGCAGAATCGTTCGAGGTATGACATTCTTCCTGAATTTATATGCATATATAATAGATGTTTTTGCAGAGTTAGATAATCTGACCCAACAAATAAAAAACTTGGCAATATCTGTCAATTAGATAACTTAAATTTGTCAAAAGATACTAGTTAATTAAGTGAACTGAGTATCTGACTGGTGGAGGCTAAATCAACTGCGTAAGAAAATCTGTCTGGCAGTCAGCTAACTGTATCAAAAGGGGTAGTTTTCGAACGTCGCAGTAGTCTGAGGGGGGGGGGGCAAGTTGACGCAAATGCGATTAAACGCGCGGCTCCTCGTCAGGGTCTCCTAGCTCAGGTGATAAGGACGTTGGCTGTACTCAAGCCCTGCCATTTCTGTCGCGTAGTTGAGTCTCCCGAGGACACTGGGTTTTTCACAACTGCCCCAGTCAAAATATAATTGTGCATTTCGCTTTGTCTCGAGGTGCCCGTTTTGTTGAAACCAAACTGACACCTGGCACTATTTCGAATCCACTGCCTGCAAAACGCCGAGTTATTGTGATTACAGGCGCATTGGATCGGTTGACGCACAGTCACTCGCGGAGTTCACATCAGAGTCAAGGCCACCGTCACGCGCGTCGTCACGCCACAGTCGATGACTAATCATCACTATCTCAAGGTGCTCTCTGACTAAGGCACACCGCACGCCCTCTCGAGCGCGCGCGTGAGGTCATACGTGATACTCTTGTGCGTTTTCTGCTTTAGTACATTCATTGTTTTTTCTTAATTCCTCACCTTATCACCGCCACCGTCGCCACCGCTAAGCCCCACAGTCAACTCAGCGGCACGAACAACTTCCTGCAACAAAATGCCTGTGTCTGCAAGCGGTCAACAGAAGCGGCAGTCAGAGAGGCCTCGGCGGTACTCAAAGGAAGTAGCTCTCGAAAATGGGTCCAGGATACTTCTGTCTACCCCTGCTGACCATTAGTCTGGCTTTCTCAATTTCTGCTATTGTGTTACCCTACTGGCCTTGCGGAAGTCTACTGGGCACCTGTCTACCCTCCATATCTCACCTCATAATGGCTGCACTCTTCTGCTTGGGTTGCCTCATCCTCGGCCTCGTGCTCCTTGTGGACATACTCAGTTTCTGCTCCTCGTCGGGAGCCTGTGTGCGTGGTCGCGTCTGTGCTTTCGTCAAGTTCACCTCCCTCGTGGTGGGCAGTGGTTGTCTGGTTGCGGGCAACCTATTCTACGCCACCTTCTACCTCAAGACCTGGTCCTTCATGCTCTCCATGTCGGGCTGTCTGACTGCCGTCTATGCCATTCTCTTCTACGTTACTACTCTACGATTTATTAAGCGCAAGTGATCTAACGGCAACCGACATGGAAGGGAGCTCTTTCCGCCTGTGCGATTGTAAACGCTCGTGTGAGCGTCCCTGAAAACAAAGTTATGGCACTTGGATTCCTGTCGTGTGTAGGCATCCTGCTTCTTTTCTTGAATTGTAAGTATACTTTAAAATCACCTCCGATATTTGAGCAATATATCTGAGTGTACATAACGAAATGCTTTTTTCTCTGTTTCGTCACACTGCTTTCTTAGGAAGTTCACACATGGACTCAAAGTTGACTGGACACGAATTTCAGTTGCTTTATCACCACAACTGCAGCAAACCTAGCTCTAGGTAGCGAGGCCCGAGGCTGAAGTTTGTGGCATACGTATCATTTCACAATGTCAGGACATCAAGGGCAGTCTGGGTGGGGAGGGGGGGGGAACTATTACGTAGAAATCGGTTAAAAATAGTAAACAGACATAGACGAATAGAGCATTAATTTTGCAAGTAATTTGAAACTCAACTGAGTAGGGTTGTGTAAGGTGTGTGTATTTTATGAACACTGCTCAGCATGACGCAAAAACATGTTAGGTTTGGCCAAATTCTGACGACAACTTGCGGCCCATTGAGGAGAACACCCACAAACTGGAATTAGAGCGCACCCCAATCCAAGCAAGAGTAGACGTTTTGGTTTTCTTTACTCTAGTACAAAACGGCATATTTATGGACGATTGCGATCGACTTCTAATGTAATTCAGAAATATTTTCTTCGATTCCTTCTCCATGTGGTCTCTATGCTACGCGAGTCCCGTGCATCTCACCCCCTTTGTGTGAAAACCTGGTGTGTTTTTTTTGGGGAGGGGGGTCGGTCGTGTGTGCCACGCGTGATCCGGCGGTTTTAGCTCTGGCAGTAATTTGCGCTCCATCCCTACACCAGATTACTGACCGGCTCCGGCCGTAGACTGGTGCCTGTGAGAGGGAAGAGAGAGTGAGACAGACTCCGGGAATCGATCCCGACGAGACTCAACACTATAGACAGTACGACGCTCTGAACGTCGTGGGTTGGAAGGTTGCCAGCTGTCGGGATCGCTCGGTCTACCTCTCGGGACTAAGGGTTAGGTTGCAAATGTTCCCTTTTGCTGTGGTTTCCATGTTATTCCTGCTTAGCTGGGTTCCGAATCCCCTCGTTGCCGTGAAACCTCGGCTCATTTTTCCGTGACAAGGCTGTGCGTGGCACGCGTAGACAAGCTGTTTGGGCCTTGCCGGCCCGATCCCGCCTCCGCTCTTCTTGACTCTCTTGACACCGTGCTCAGGGGGCCGAAAAAAGGCGGAATTCAGTAGATGCTGTGCAAGTCAACTATAACTGTAAACCAGTTCACGCGGAAGTCACCGTCCTGTGTCCGCTATGCTGCGGGGCGCACGATGGACTTCATTGTTCGTGATGGTAGAACTCTCGAGTAGGCGGTGAACGGTCGAACTGCCACGACAGATTAGGCGTTTCTGAAAGCGATCGCAAGTAATCCTCAGGTGACTTATGTAGGAATATAGTCGCCAGCCGTGTCCCACACGGACTTCGTGTATCTTAGGTTGATTTGTTTTACATCTCTGCTCTGGCCAACAAATAGGACGGATTGGTCGGCTACAGGGCAGTCATGACCCCTGTGATCAGACTCCTGGCTAAAGATAAGTGTGTTTTAGGCCTTCCCAGACCCAGCAATTTGAGTAAAAAGTGGCGCAAGATTATTTAAGAGCAGCGTTTTGTAGAACCGCATGGTTCTGCCCGTGACACGTCCATCTGGTCTACTACTTCTCCATGCCTGAGAGGTCTCAAATTTGGATTACTTTGTGTTTAGAAGGATTTACAAACTGCGGATGTCCGTAGGCGAGTCTAAAAGCGCGAACATTGTGCCGGCCGCGCGAATGTGTCTACTGGGTCACATCGGATTTTGGCAGGCGTTATCGGGAATGCAAACCCATTGCAAATGCCAACATTTGGGGGTGCGCTGGCAGGTTTAGTTGCCGGTTTACGTCGCGCACACTGAGACCCCTGCCAACCCCCCATGGTTGTTGCTGTTGGTTAAAATCCTGATCGGGTGTTTGTTTTGGACCAAGGGCTGTGGGGTGGTACGCCTGGGTGAGAGTCCGACCGTGCCAGCCACCTGCGCCCTCTCCCGCCTCCCGGTTTTCTTGACTATGTTTAGACATCGGGTCCAGATAGGAGGGGAGTGAGTGCGGTAGATGCTGCGCAAGTCCACTCTCACTATAAAAGAAATCATGCGAAATCCACCGTCGCTGCTCTCACCCTGCTGTGGAGCACACAGTGGGCATCGTAGATCACGACGGTCAAACTGCCGGGTCAGATTGTCCCCTGTCTGATTGTACTTCTAGTCATTGTAAAATGATCTAAACAGACAGAGGACTTTTGCACTGACTAAAATTTTAATTGCGTGAACTAATGCGCAGAGTTCAGTGCGTGAAATCTGAATTTTAATTTAAATGGCAACATAGCTAGTGAGTATCAACTACGCGGTCTAGCATGCTTTCTACTAGGACGTCGGTGGGAAATAGATCGTGCAGTTTTGCAAACATGTAAGATTTAAAAAATCAACTTGGTCTACAGTTTGGCATGTTTCGTTGAGACCACATTCGTAATCTGCAAATGTCCGTGTGCGACCAGGACTTCATTTCATAAACTTATTTCATTCTTGACAAAAATGGACATGGACTTGATGAGGCTGATGAGATGAGTTTTCGGTAGGGTCTGACATTTCAAACCTCTCACGTGGTCGTCTAACATCAGGAACCGAACGGTCCTACGCACAGTCAGCGTGATAATGGGAGGGTTGTCGTTAAATGTATCGCTTTTCCACTGCCTGCCGGTTCCTAGGACGGTTACCGAGTACCGTAGCTTTGGATCTGAAGATACCCCTTCCCCTGGCTAGCCAAGTTCATGTCCGGCGTCTTGCGAAAAGTTTCAGTCGTGGTTTTAACGGAAATATTGTCTCATAGGGAAGAGGAGAAGAATTCGCTTAGAGGACCTTGATTCTTATGATACCATAAGAAAACGCAAAGGGAGGTGACACATGTTACGCCCTATTAACCTCAGGGAATCGCACGTGTTAAAAAGTTAATCAAGAAGGGAGATCGTGGTCGTTTCAGAGTCCGTCTGGGTCGCGGTCACATAGTGGGGTGACAATGACTAGTTGTAATTCTAGAAGCCGATAAACGTGAGGATAAAATTCTTTTGGAAGGGCAATCTTAATCAATCCTATTTTATTCCCCCTTTTTTGTTTCCCGGAACTTTTCGACAATATCCAGATTGAAGAAGCAATTTCAATCCTGACTTTGTGTAAACGCAAATTATCCTGCGTCTGTATTCACTTCAGTTGAGGATTAACTCTGTGAGAAATAATCCAATCAAATTTTCGATTTAAAAAGAGAACATTACTAAGTAATAGTCCTTATCATTAGTTTACTGCGGCAGCCGTTCAAACAGACTGTAAATTCTGCAGACAAGCGCATGGACTTCATTTGCGCACCGATAGCAAAATAAAGTGACCTACTATGCGTCGAGGTTCGTAACCGAAATTAAGTAGTTTCTGAAAAAGTAAGTAAGCAGTAATAAAAAAAAGAAGTTACGTCGAAGAAAAGTATGTGAATGAAATTAGAAGTCAACACCTGCTACTGTTGCTTTTTAATTTCCGCAGAAAGGAACCGCTAGCTTGGAGTAAATTAATTTGAGCTAAACGCTGGATGAAAATTGAGTATTTGGGCCGGAGTCCATCAGCCACAGCGGGCTGTGCGAGTAATATTCATTAACCTGCCGACGGGCAGCTAGTAGTGTATATTGAGGTTACAGGGTGCCCCCAAAACGCGCCACGCTCTAGATGCGCTGGGACAACATTGGGGCCATATCGGATTCTGGCGGGTGTTATCGGAATGTGCATCATGACAAAGGCCTACATTTCGGGGTGCGGTGGTAGACTCAGCTGCTAGCAGAGGTCGCGCAAATTGAGACCCCTGACGTCCCCCATTTATATTGTTGGTTAAGATCCTGGTCATTTGCCATCTGGAGCCGGGTAGTATGGAGTGGAGCGCCAAGTTGCGGGCTTGACCGTGCCATCCACCTTCACCCTCCTCCCACATCCAGTCTTCTTGACTATGTCTTGACATCAGGCCAAGGTGGGGGCGGATGAGGGAGTGCGGTTGATTCTGGGCAAGTCTGCTGCCACTATAAACTAACTCACGCACAAGTCACTATACCTGCTTCGCCTTGCTGTGGAAAACACGGTGAACATCTCCGGTTGCGATGGTCGAACTTCCGGGGTTACAGGATAGCATATTGGCTGCACAGGTGCTGGTTGAAAGCCCAGACACGTGTTTCACTAATATTCTGTCGCTGCATGGCACAGCTACGAGGGGTTCGGCTTTTCACTGGGTCCCCCAGCGTTCCTCAGTAAACTTTGTTTTCTGCCCATAGATCACAGTTTAAACTGAGTTGCTCCAAGTTAGCAATGAATTTTTTAGGAAATTAAAGACCAACAATTTCTGAACTGGAGTATCTGCCAGGTAGCATATGAGGAATTCCCGGGAACTCACCGATGAGCCAAACAACTCGTCACTGTGCCACGCAACGGCATAATATCGGTAAAACACGCGTGTCTGGAATTTTAACTAGTGTCTGTGCTACCCAGTACTGCAACCTACAATCCCAACGCGTGTTATGTCCGGTTATTTGACCCCTCTGATTCACTTCAAGTTTCAAAAAAGACAGCCATTTGCATATTCTGTACGCTACTTTGTCATCTGTAGGGATGATTCGAGTCACTGAAGACCACTACGTTGGTGGCCAAACATGTGAGATTTTCGTTCTGTCTACTCATGCAGTAGTGACAATTAATTCACCAATGACAAGTGCATTCACCAATACGGCTAACTAAAACGAAAACTATGTTTGCTTAATTGCTTTTGTCGGACATTCCGAGACTACATCGTGACCGACTAATTCCTGAAGTGAATAGTCTCTGTATGGTGTT